CTAAAATTATCTATAGATATCTGAACATAAATATGTCTCTTGTCTATTCTGGTAATGTTTTTATGTGTATGAATTATTCATATATCGTATTTGTATTATCTAACTTATTTTAAAATATAAATTTGATGTGTAATTTTTAATAGCCAAAAATATTTTAATTCGAGTTGTGAATCGCTATAATCCAAATTTTTATCTGAAATGAACATACTATGTATCTGTTGATGTTGAAAAAACTGTTGAATCTGGCTGAATTTAGTTTTATGCAAATGGTAACTGCGGAATTGCTGAATGTGGCTGAATCTGGCTGAATATTTTTTTCATGTTACCATTTACACTCTATATATAAGTCTATAACAATAAATTACTTAATTATTATGTAAAACGTCACAACGATATATGGCATATCTGCTTGATGATTTGGATGTCTATAAAACATACACAAAATGTTGCAATAAAAATAACAAATTTTTATGATCAAATATAAAACCTTATACATGTTTCAATTTATTTTTTAGTTTATATGGAAAAATACTGTTTTTAATTATGTTCTAAAAATCAGTAAATGTGTATCTTCACTCTTTTTAAAAACATCAATATAAGTATTACCTACATATCAAGTACAAAGATGAACGAGTTTCTCTCTCTTCTCTCTCTAGGACTCTTGAGAGAGAGAACTCAATCCTTGTTTCACCTTCCGGTTTGGTTACCGGTGTTCCTTGTCTGGATGAGATCCGGCTTTGTTTTCGGCGTGGTCCGGTTTTGTTTCCGGCGTGGTCCAGTTCATGTTTTGGCTATCCATTGCCGCTTCTTGTCTTTCCCTTGAATAAATTGTGCGATCTATGTCGGTGTCGTGGTTTTAGGCAGATCTTCTTTGCCTAAGTGCGATTCTCTCCGGCATGTTTCTTTTGGATCTGATGTTTGTTTTTCTAACCGTTTTTAAGATAGCTTCACAGTTTTGCGACTAAGATTTTATGGTATGAAGATCTGTTCCTTTGCTAATTTTAGATTGACTCTCAGCCGTTCTTACTTGATTATCTAAGTTTCAATTTGATTAGCATACGGTGGTAGAATTTCAAATCTTATCATTCTCTGTTGGACTTTGTTCGCTGAATCCCAAATGATTATTAATGGATTTAGCAACCGATTGAGTTTTTTTATCTGTTTTATATGTCTCTTTAGCCGTATCTACAAAAGTTGGTGAAAAACTAAAGAATCGTTAGCCGGATATTGTTTTCCGGCGATGATTTTTTCAATGGAATTGGTGTATCAGGTGACGGAGGTTGGTGGTCGATGACATGTTGCTTTACTGCAACACGTGGCACGTTCTTATCATGTTCTCAGCTTCCCACGTGTGGTGAAGATTATCCTTCAGCATCTCTCTTTGTTGTCAATTGGGCTTTGTATTGGGATATAATCTTTATAGGCCCATTCAAATTTGAACTCTATGTTATACGTATCATATCCGGTTAGGCTTTCTTTGGCCTTAGTTTTAGGGCTGCTTTTTCTCCATCTTAAGCTTGCTTTCGTTTGTGGTGTGGATTGTGATTCTTCGGCTGCGCTTCTCTTCTCTTGCTCGTGGAAGCAATCCAGAGCTTGTTCGATTGTTTTCTTTGAGGCAAAATTTCAGGGAGTCGTTTTTCTAGTGGATGTCCTCCTCAAAGTGGTTGGTGTTTCCCGGTTAGGTAATTTCGCAGATTTTACATGGTTCTCTCCTCTGCGTAATTTGGTTTTGGGTTTTAGAAGCGGCTCGTCGAAGTGTTTACTTTTCCTTCAAGCTTTGGGATCTCGTGGTTGAGGCTCTTGCAAAAGTTTTTGGTTGATTGGATTGCACTCATGGTTTCGCCAGGTCGCGGGTTAAGTGTAAAGGTTCTTGGGACGAGGGTTAAGTGAGAGATTCGGTTCTTCCCCTCTTCGTATCTTATTTTCTTTTAGAAATTTGTGCTAGATTTCCTCTTTCTATTAATTCTTTGTTAGTTTGATCTTTGAGTTTCTTTCAAGTAAGTTGATTGTTTAAAGGCTTAGTTTCATATTTTGGCTATAGCTTTTCTGGGTTTTTTTTTTGTCAACTGCGAATTTCATTAAAATTAAGAGGGAAAGGCTCCGTTCGAGGAGGAAACAAGGGTGCTTAAAGCACGTTTTGCCATCTCGTCGGCTATAACATTGGCCGTACGATGAATAAACTGAAAGAATACAGATGCTAGAGTAGATGCTAGATTCCTAATGTCATGTAGAAGACCAACTAGCTCATTAGTAACCTTATTCGATCGAAGCAGCTCAATAAGAGACTTAGAGTCCGATTTGATATCGACTGTGGTGAAACCCATGGCTATGGCCGTCTGGAGTCCCGCTTTGATTGCTAAAGCTTCATCTTGAAGGACAGAAGCTACATACTGTTCCGTTGTAGAGTTTTTGAAGCAGATTGTACTCTGCTTATCTCCCCCCACCCAGCCTAAGCCACAACCCTGAGATGCTTCTAACCATGAGGCATCGGTCTCTACAATCAAGGCCGAGGAACATGGGAGAGGATTGGCTCTAACAACTGGAGTTGTTGTAGAGGTCTTTGTCTCTTTTCCTAGCTGGGACTGGTGCCATTCAATAGCATCTCTTATCGCCTTCTGGATAGTGTCATGTTATGAAAAAGCCTTGTCTGTAAAGAGGAGTTGATTTCCTGCTGACCAAATGATCAAAGAATCCAGGGGAAGAGAGCCACATGGGAGAGGCCTGTTGGAGGGAGGTTGATGCATTTTTGATGCCCTAGAATTAGGGCTTTTGGGTTCACTAGGATCTGGTAGTTAGGTTATCTAGAGAGATGAGCCATATTCTAGACTGTTGATGCAAACGGACAGTGGATTAGTAAGTGCAGAATTGATTCCTTCTCTCCACACCGCTTACATGCTGTGTCAAGTTGCAGGCCCCTAGAAGCCAGTTGTTCGCCTGCAGGGAGAGCACCAGAAGCCACTTTCCAGAGAAAGTGCTTGAGCTTAGGTGAGATTTTTGTTTGCCAGACATTTTTTGACCAGTTGATCTCTGAGAGGTGGGGATCAGCCTTGTTGTTTTTTATGAGATTGTAGCCTGATTTAGATGAGTAGATCCCTGGTTTGTTTGGCAGCCAGGCAAGGATGTCCTCTGTTTTGCAGCAGCTAGGTCGAAGGCTGCGGATGTTAGTTTTTAGGAGAGGTAAGTGAGAGCGGATCATATTCACGTCCCAGGAGTTGTCTTCACGGAGGAGATCTTTGACCCTCAACTGCTCTGCTGTAAGTGACGGTGGACCACAAGCCGATATGGGAGTAGAAGTGGACAGCCAAGCATCCTCCCAGACCTTAATACTTTCCCCATTACCAACTAGCCAGCCCAGTCCTTTCCTTAAGACTTCTCGTCCCGCCATAATTTCACGCCAACCATGAGAAGGGTTTGATGGTAATGAGCAGTTCATAAAGGATTTGTTATGGCAATATTTCCCAAGTAAGACCTGTCCAAGAAGGATTGAGGGTTCTTTAGAATTCTCCAGCTAAGTTTCCCCAGTAGAGCATCATTGAAGTTTTCTATTTCCCTAAAGCCCAAACCGCCAGCTCCTTTCGGTCTTGAGAGAGCATCCCATGAAACCCAACACATCATAGGCATCCCATCTTCGGCTGCTCTTCTCTTCTCTTGCTCGTGTAAGCACTCCAGAACTTGTTCGATTGTTTTCTTTGAGGCAAAATTTCAGGGAGTCGTTCTTCTAGTGGATGTCCTCCTCGAAGTGGTTGGTGTTTCCCGGTTAGGTAATTTCGCAGATTCTACATGGTTCTCTCCTCTGCGTAATTTGGTTTTGGGTTTTAAAAGCGGCTCGTCGAAGTGTTTACTTTTTCTTCAAGCTTTGGGATCTCGTGGTTGAGGCTCTTGCAGAAGTTTCAGGTTGATTGGATTGCACTCATGGTTTTGCCAGGTCGCGGGTTAAGTGTAAAGGTTCTTGGGACGAGGGTTAAGTGAGAGATTCGGTTCTTTCCCTCTTAATATCTTATTTTCTTTTAGAATTTTGTGCTAGATTTCCTCTTTCTATTAGTTCCTTGTTAGTTTGATCCTTGAGTTTCTTTCAAGTAAGTTAAGATTGTTTAAAGGCTTAGTTTCATATTTTGGCTATAGCTTTTCTGGGTTAAGTTGTACTACTTTCACTGTCTCCCTTTCATAAGACTTTGTCTTCGGGGAATACTTGTTTTCCACTGGCTTTTGACTCCCGGAACTTCTGTTCTTCGGCTTTGTATGCTTTTACGATGAATAATATAAAACTCTAGACGACAAAAAAAAAAGTATTACCTACATTTTCTCAAGAATACTCATGTGTGTCATGTCATGTATACATGCGTGTATTGTCCATTGTTGTTACTTTACCAAAGGTTGTGATCAAACTTCAATTTTTGTTGATAGATACTTCCAAATTTCTAATATACAATTCTTTAGAACACCTCCAATCGTGTTTTTTATGGGTTTTTTAAAAAAATTCTTAAAATTAAAAATAATTAAAATAAATGAAAACAACAAATAAAATTAAAGATTGTTGTCTGTAATATAAAGATTGTTAACCCTACCGTGATAAAAAGGTTAATTTTCATTTTTTTAATATTCCCCTCCTATGCAAATTGAGGGACCACGTAGAAAGTTGTGAGAATCTCTATACACAAAAGAAATAGAAACAATGATTACATGCACAAGCACGAGGCCATAAATTTCCTTATCCTATACACAATATTATATACACATTTATATAAAGATGTAACATTCCAAAGAGAAAAACCTCCTATAGCTCACTCTACAAAAAAAAAAAAGTTATTTTGTATGGAACTCCAATAATAAAGTTTAAGTGGGTATTCAAAACCAATTGCCATGAAGAAAATTGATCAATCTTTCTTATTTAATTTATCATTTGCAATTTCCTTTTATTCTTCACGACGTTAGTAAAAACAAATTCTCATTATAACAAAACCTAACTAGTTTAATACAGTTGAAACTTTCAAACCAAAATATTAATTACAACTTGTACCGGTTATTCTACGATACTTTATGAGACTATGACAAAATTAAAGACAAAAGAAATTAAGAAAAACAGTCAAAAGTTAAAAAAAGGATATTCAGACCAATGAGAATAGATAAGGGGGAAAAGACAAACACAAATAGCATTTGGCGCCAAAAAAAGACCTAAATGGTCGTGTCACGTGATGTTAATTTTTGCTCTAGTAAAGTGTTTTCCAAATCTCTGGGTCCCACTCTCAGATGTGCTGACTTTTTTTTATTACTTTTGTCTTAAATCTTTGGAATTTTTCAATTTTAATTTAATTTAATTCATTTCTTTTTCTCACTCTATAAATCCCCACAGATCCATCACACTTCACCTAGAGACCTTCCACAGCTTTCTCGACAACTGACGAGTGAGTTTCAATCCAACGGTTGAGATCCAGTCTCCATAGATAATTCACATAACGACACGTGGCGGCGAGAGATGAAAGAAAGTAGCCGGAAGCAAGGAGCTGCGTCACCGTGTGCTGCGTGTAAGCTTTTGCGGCGGCGGTGCGCTCAAGATTGTGTTTTCTCGCCGTATTTTCCGGCGGATGAGCCTCAGAAATTCGCTAATGTTCATAGAGTGTTCGGTGCTAGCAACGTCAACAAGATGCTTCAGGTTTTCTTCTTTCTTAAGAATAATTAAAATGTGCTTAATCATATTTTGGGTTAGGTTAATTAGAAGAATTTTCTTGTTTCTTATGTTAGATGAGACATTACTATCACTTCCATAACTTTTTATTTGAAAACTACCACATGGTCCGATCTATTTATATTAGTATTATAAACTAATTTAAGGATTTTAAATTGCATTTTAAGAATTAAGAATATGTTAGTGACATTTACATTTATTAGCTGATGTAGAATTTACCCACTTTTGTTAGCTGATGTAGAATTTTAACCACTTTAACTTTTTGTTAGCTTAGTTAATGATATGATCTACATTTCTTGGCTAACTAATTTCGATTCTACGTTTGAGATCAATTATATAATTTATATAGTTTTGTGAGATTAGTTGGTCTAGTGGCTAACAGGATTTTGCAACAGGAGTTACCAATCCACCAGCGAGGGGACGCGGTGAGCAGCATGGTTTACGAGGCTAATGCAAGAGTTCGGGATCCGGTTTACGGTTGCGTAGGAGCAATTTCGTCCCTCCAGCAACAAATCGACGTGTTGCAAGCTCAGCTAGCTCTAGCTCAAGCTGAGGTGGTGCACCTACGTGTACGCCACTCTACTAATTTTCCAGGCCACGGACTATGCCCGGACAGTCCGAGTAGCAGCGGTTCACCGTCTTCGAAGCAAGTGAGTCCACAGGACAACAAGGGCATGTTTAGCCATATGGACATTGTGGATGAAGCCAGTTTGGGAGAGTCTATGTGGTCTTGCTAGTCAATGCTCTCTTTTGACTACTGCAAATTTCCTCTTCCTTTTTTGGGAAATTTCGGGATTATTATATTTAAATTAGGGGTAGGAAATGAAAATGCTCTGTTTTGACTACAGAGTGAAATTATTAACATGATATAGATACATATAAATACTATATATATATATATTTATATTATAAATTAAATCTCTCTCTCTCTCTCTCTCTCTCTCTCTATATATATATATATATATGAGTATTTGTAATTTTGTATTTCGGGGTATTTGGGATTTGGTGTATGTGTAGGACTTTGGACCATGATCCACGAGGGTTCTCTTGATCATTTCCAACCGAGGAGGGAACTTTGTTATTGACCTAATGTAAATTTGTGAGATATGTTATTTATCTATATCTATATACAATTATGGTCATGTAAGTCATGGTCTGTGTGTGACTCTGTGCGCATATTATTGCGTAATGGTCGTTTCTGATATTGGCTAAGTGACTAAGTCTAGCTTAGCAGTTAGCACTTAGCATTATCTTCTTAATCATTGTAGTGAATAGTGACTAGTGAGTACTGAGTACGTGAACTGATATTGTATGTTTTTTACTTTCATTTCTCGTATTTTCAGGTATTTATGGGCCTGGCCTTTTATTACCCAAGCTTATGGCCCATTTCTCTTTTTTTTTTCCTTGCAAATATTTGCCATTCGATATTATCCCTGATCGCTCGCACATCATGTACTATTCAAATTCACATTCACATTCACATCTTTTGATCCGTGAGTGTTAGACACTCATGTACTAATATGATTACGGCCTCTTGTCAAGTCCGAAAATCCGGAGGTGGAGATGTACTTATGAATATTGGTTAAATGAAATTTATGTAACGAAAACTAGTAAATTCTGTATTGAAAACTTTGAAAGATAGCGGAAATGAAGGGGGAGAAAAATTACCGGAGAATTTAATTGTGGTAAGAAATTTACAGTGAGCTTAAACAGAACAAGTAATTAGTATTTTATAGTTTAAGTTATCTCCTGCATTCACGCAAATGCAAGAGTGGTAAAATATTATCACTAATTAAATTTAGGGGAAAAAGTTTGAGGTTTTAGTTGGGAAAATGTTTTAATTTGGAGGTTATTTCTGGGATTTTCCCTAAATTTAGTTATGCTCTTAAACATAAGACTCTTGCCTTATATCATGAAATTCCCTTTAAGCAATTGAGCTTCACAGAGCAATCACTACACCGCAAAATGATCACAATCACCTTTTTAGCCATGATTCTTTCTAAATTGCGCAATCCAAATTTTAAAAGTTTTCGACAATGCATTGTTTTTCAATAGGTACAATGGAAAACAAAGAGATTAGAGAGAGTAACAAAAGCATAAAGCAAGTTTTTTAAACATCCTTAGCAATGAGATCACCATTGAGAAACTCTCTGTAGGCAGCAACGGGCCAAATGAAACCACGGAAGATGATCCGACTAGCCAAAGGAACATCGATGATGATCTCTTTCATCGCGGGTTTCTTCTCACCACTAATAGCTATTAAGTAGCTTCTTCCAACCCACCCGATCCATCCAGCAATGTAGAGGAAAAGAATCCCTGGAGTAATGAACTCTCCCCAATGCCGCTGGTCTCCATTCACAATCAAGTGCGGTAAACCATCTGACCCGCATAGCAAGCCGTACTTCCCGTAGTTGTCGAACCTAACAAACATTTCTTCAATATCAATAAAATCTCCACAAATCATAGGCACATACAATTCCAAATCAATCGACTTCGAAACTCACTAACTCATAAAAATCATACTATAGCAATGAACCTAACAAGTAATTCATTAAAATCAAGATTCAAGAATCAAGAACAGAGAAAAAAAAAAGCTCTGTTTTAACGAAAGAAATCGAAATCGAAGACGAACCTGCGTTTCGTTTTCTCGATCTGAGCATTAAGAGCAAGAGCAGGAGCAGATTCAGGAGCGTAAAGCTTAAGAGATGATTCAAGCTTCTTGATCTGTTGCTTCTCTCTCTTAGCGAACTGTTTTGAGTCCTTGCAAGGAGTCAAACCTGAGATATCAGCGACAGCTGGCATCGGAGCAGAGAGGAGGATGGAAGAGAGGGCAACGGCGGCGGAGAAAGCTTTCATGGATTGCGGTGTGGAGGAGGATTTGTCATCGGAGCAGACGAATCTTGCGGAGGATTTAGGTACGGATTGAGTGAGAGATTTGTTAGATCTCGGGTTGAGAACGAGATTCGTCGGGATCGTGAGCGACATCGCGCTTTTCGGGTTCTTGGAGGTTTCGAATTCTAGGGTTCTGGATCTTTGGAGGAAGTGTGGAGAGAGGACTTATGGGAGGAGCTTTAGATTCTTGAGGAGATTAGTGGAGGTAAAGGAAGATAAGAGAAGAGGTCTTGTGGTGATGAGGTGGCGTGTTTTGATTGGTTGGTAAGTAACATGTCACTGGATAAGAGATTTTCCCGCGGATTTTTGTAGTTTTCTTATTTGATGTTGGAGATATGTGGACTACACACGACTTATCTGTATTTTGTTTATATAACTATAGTTTTTTTTATTGAAACATCAACATATAACTATATATTATATCTACACAAAATAATCACATATATGTAGACAAGAAAAAAACAGACATGTAGTTTTATAGTTCTGAATAGTAATTACACTGCAAAATTGAGATTCTGACATGAGTTTGTTAATCATTTTTTTTTTTTGTAAAATCGTAATAATTTACATTCACAATTTCGATATTAGAAAAGGTAATTGCCAAAATCAAAAAATTAAATCTATAATTTGACCAAAATAAAAATTCTCCAATTAAATCTATATATATATGAGCGAAGTAAACATTAGCAGAATTACAAATCCTTCCACCATTTCGCCGGAAGGAGGCTAATATCTTTTGTAATGTTTGTCTGAAATGTTTCAACGATTTCTTTTCATAAGATCTCTTCAGCTGTCTATGAACACCTTGATTAGGTTTTAATCTTTTGAGATCATACTTTTCTTTAAAGTTTTACTAGTATTTTTTAATGTATTAACTGTCTAATTCTAGGCAGAAGAAACAAATTTCTTCTCATTTACCCATTATATATTGTTTATAGCAAAAAAAATTCCATTTTTTGTCCAATCACATCCGAGAGGAGAATTTGGTTGTGTTGCCACATCATATTTTTAACTCGTTGAATTACCAACACGACGTTCTGATATTTTCTAGAGGTTTCTTATAGAATCATGTGTAAACCATTACTAGCTTTCTTATTTACATTAAAGAGAAAAGAAAATACACAAATGAAGAAGGGAATTTATCCCAAGAAAACTAGAGACAATCAAAAGATTACAAGTTACAAGTACAACATTTCACAATAAGTCAAACAAAAGCATCTTCCAATAGAGACAAACAAGATAGACAAAGAGAAAAAATAAGGAAAATCAGACGCTGTGAGAATTGTCGGGCTTGGTCTGAGGAGACAACGGTGGAGAAGAGGCGGCGATTGCGCCGGGAGGGGGAGCAGGAGCTCCATACACCTGAGGATTTGTACGGATTTCATGGCGGCCACGAGATTTGCCGAGGAAGTAGCAACCGAATCCAAGAAGTAGACAAAAGAAAATTAGAGGCAGAGATATGACCACAACCAAACCCATCGATCTTGAGATCTTGTTTCAATCTTCTTTCTGATTGTTTTTTTTTTTTGTTGTTGTTTCTTGGACTCTTGGTTTTGCTTTGATTCTACTTCACATGTACTCCCCTCCGTATTTTAATAAGTGTCGTTTTAGGATTTTCTTTTTTTAAAAATTAGATGTCGTTTTCAAATTTCTATGCAAAATTTTTTACTTTTTAATGTTTTATGATATCATAAAACATTAAAAAGTAATAAATTTTGTATAGAAATTTGAAAACGACATCCAATTCAAAAAAATAAATATTCTAAAACGACACTTATTAAAATACGGAGGGAGTATATATTTATATGTATGAGTTTGTGGGAGGCTCTGGAAGGATCCGATTCTGTCCGCAACGTTTATGTCTTGTAAAGCTTTTAAAGCTTAACGTTTAAATCTCAACGGTCACCTTTTTATTTTGGGTGGGCCCTTTCATACTCTTTCATATTGTTTTTTTTTCTCTCTTTTAAAATACTATTAAATTTTTAGTTTAAAAAAGAAAAAAAAAATCTTCTCATGAGTAGCTTGGAATTGGATGGAAATTTATTAAAAATACTCCCCAAAAAAAAAAAAAACACTTCCCAAGTAAATATATGTTTTATGTTATGAAATTATTAGATAATAATCAATTTAGGATCCTTTGTATAAAATGAGATGTGAGAAAGTTAATATTTTATTTTATATTGTTTTGTTGATGTGTCTTTACAAGAAAAAATTTATTCGAATTTATAGGAGAAATATATTAAAAAAAAGACTCATAGGCAATTACGACAAATGAACGAAATTAGGATATTCAAAATATTACAGTAAGACAAAACCATGATAAGAGAAAAATATGTATCTACCTGAAAAATCCTCTTGAGTTACCAACTTTAGTCTTTATTGGCATATGCAACTGCGTCCATGAATATGCGTTATGCGTCCATGTCCACAACTAATTCCGAAGACATCACATTCACTTCAACAGATGGAGTCGTAAATGTTGGAAGTGATTCACAATTTTTCATTTAACATACTGTAATTTTCATCCGCAACAAAGAGATACAAAATTAACTTCTAATATTTTGAAAATTTTGTAAGCAAGTTAAACAATCATGTATTTATCAAGGGTTTTTGAAAAGTTGAGAGCTACCTTGTGTATCTTTGTTGTGGAGAAAATAACAATCTCTCAATGAAAAAACATGAATCACGTCCAACAAGCCCGATTCCATTCTCTTAAATGAATGTGATCATATCTTTCTAAGATAATTGTGAACACGGTCATGGACGCGTGCTCATGGAAGATGAAGATTTGTTAACCTGATAATTATAATAACAATATATAGCAGGCTGTCAAAAAAAAAAAAATATAGCAAATAATAGAGCAAGTTATGCAAATAATAATGAAAACATGCAATGAATCATAAAGAAAGCAATTGCTACGTATGGGGGATGGATGGTCACTGGTGTGCTTGTCGTGCTATGGAAGTATTGGAGACTCAAACTCATGACATATAAGATGAAATATGAAGAAGGGAATCTTGTATGTAAAAAGGAATGATCCCAATTTATAAAAGAGAAAATACAAATCAACTAACAAAAACGGAATGTTACTTAGAAAATTAAAGTAAAAATAACTTGTCACTGATGTTACTTATGGTACCATAAACTAATCATCTGACTTGTTTAATCAAACATATTTTGATAAAGTTCTGCTCATACAAAATGGTTAACTCTTCTAACAATATTTCACTGTCCTTGAGGAACCCGTTCTTTTAACTCATGCAACCAGCAATCTCAATCCGCCTGGTCCGATCAACCCATAGCTTTTTTTTCCTAGTTTCACATGTCTAGTTGTTTATCTACGGCTACGAGCACCTTTCTTCAAATGAAATATATTCATTATAAATAACTAAAATCCAAATAAATATAAGTATGATTCGATATTTAACAGATTATTGGTAAGTTAATCCAAACCCACTGAAACAGCATAATATTCAAAGCATCATATCCAAATTGCATTCACTTTTTCCCCACCAACTCCAACAAGCCATACAAAGGAAAACAGGAAAAGATATATATTTAAGAGTTACTTCTCAGAGAAGACCAAAACCACCCCTAAGAGCAAGAACCAGATGAAGAACAGAGCCTCCCTCTATGGCGTAGTCTTTTGCCGTTTTGTCATCAGCTAGCTGTTTTCCGGCGTAGATGAGCCTGCAAACATCCTTGAGATTATAAGCATCCAACAAACACTCATGCAAATCAGTGTGTTATATGTAACAGTCTAGATTATCAGCTTGCACGCAGAGAATAATCGACTGATGCCAAAAATCATAAGGAAACACATAGAGGAGTTGCAATTTTCACAAGGGCATTAGATAGTTTTCTTTATCTCGCTAAAACATGAAAATCAAATCACCTATTGCAATAAACCGCAAATAAAGTCTTATAGAATCAATATTGAACCGCGAACAACTCCAAATGAGCCGACAAAGATGACAGAACAATATAGGAGCTACAATAAGTGGTGAGCATAAGTCTCAGAAAAGAGTTAATACTGTTCAAGAGGCTTCCCTAAACCCAAATTAAAACTCAATTCTTTTGAAGTAAGTGGAAAGATAAGTTATGTACCTTTGTTGAACAGGAGGGATACCTTCTTTCTCCTCAACACGTTCCTTGATCCGATCAATAGTATCGGTTGGTTCAATATCAATCTCAATTTCCTTCCCTGTGAGAGTCTTGACCTTAATCATAGTCCCGCCCCTAAGCCTCAAGACCAAGTGAAGAGTCGACTCTTTCTGGATGTTGTAATCCGCTAATGTTCGACCATCTTCAAGTTGCTTACCAGCAAATATCAACCTCTGTTGATCAGGTGGTATTCCCTCTTTGTCCTGTTTTCAACAAAATCCCAACCAATTAGAACAAGACCAAATCAAAACAATACTTAGAGATTGCAACATCAACAACATGATTCGTGAATCTGATCAAATCGATCATCTTTAGTCACTTATACAAAAACCTATCGATCGCTCGAGAATCTGAGATCGTTTTACGTAATCAGAGAAAGAAAACCTAAAACCATCAAACCAAACAATCAGTGACTCCAATCAATGAATTATTCTCCAACAATTAAGAAAAGGAATTGAAAAATTCACATTCCAAAACCCTAAAAAGTACGAGCAGGTGGAATTCGAAGTCGGAGAAGGAGAAAGAGAAACCTGAATTTTGGCTTTGACATTGTCGATGGTGTCGCTGCTTTCGACCTCTAGGGTTATGGTTTTTCCGGTGAGGGTTTTGACGAAGATCTGCATTTTTTTTTTTTTCTTCGCTGATCTTTTTCGTCTCTGATTTAGCGTTTATGAATATATATATATATATATATATATATATATATATATATATATATATATTTACGAATAAGAAAATATATAAAATAAAAATTGGGATATAGTTTGAAGGATTTTGGAATAAATCCTTTTTGAAAGATAGCGTTTGGGCTACGCTATTCCTTCTTCTTCATTTGTTATATAATTTTTATTAACAATTTTTTAGAAAAAGTCTTTAAAAGGTATAATGATCTAGAGAGTTTTAAATCAAATATATTAATATTGCTTTAAATATATTCAGATTTTTTTGAGGTAGAGATTTTGGTTTCAATTTTAGGATTTTTAGTTTTTAAAAAACATAAATTAATTTGTTCAATGAAAAGATTTGAAGAGATTTTGTACTAAACAAAAAGAAATTAAAGAGAAAGACTAGTTTTCCACTTTTCCTAGATTTTAAGAAAACAAGAATTTAATAAACTCTTAATATTGCGGGATGAGACATTGCACTTTTGAGTTTTAAAACCAAAAACTAAGGCAACAATTGTTGTCATTCAATTAGTCAATTTTGTTGGAGTCTAGAGCTTTGTTGCAAAACCCTCTACTCTCTAGATACTATGGAGCATATTTTCGAAGGGTGTGGTTTGAAGTGAAACATCTTAAATAGAAGGAAAACTCTTAAACCTCTTGAATGGGTATGTCTCTCTAGCTAACTTTTTGTTTTTATAGACCCAAAGACTCATCGCGAAAGAATTTCACCCTTTCATGTAGAGTTGGAGACGCTTGTTTGAACCATAAGTGCATCCCAATGGCATACCAGAATTAAAGACATCTCTCTAACCATTTTCTTCTCAACCGATAAAAAGCCTTTCACCATCTTTATTCAAACGTATAGAACCCATATGTTTTAGGCGATTATGATTGCCAACGTTATTGGGATATCTCAAATGTTTTACAAAAATCAAAAACAATATAATTAAACAAACCGGTTAAAAACCATATGGTAAGATTACAAGATGGTCCACGTTGATTTGGAGTCCGAGGCTAGTTTGTCACTAATTGGAGAAAATGAATCCGGCATGCCATTTTGTGATCTGAGTGCCACTGTAAATGTGATATTCCGAAATCACCCTTAATGAAAGAAGAGACGATTGGTACAACTAAGAGATAATAGTACAACTGGTACAATTAAGGGATAATATGACAACTGATACAAATAGTATAACTGAGAGATAATTGAACAACTGGTACAAAAGGTATTACTAAAAGATAATAGTACAATTGATACAATTGGTATAACTAACATATAAATAAGTACAACTGGTACAAATAATTAGGTACAATGGTACAAATAGTTAGGTACAACTGGTACAAATAAGTAGGTACAACTGAAGCGAAGCAATTGTAATTCTAAACCCTAGCGCCATCACACTTACTAATTCGTCTCTTCTTGCTTTCTTCTTCGTCGTCGTCGCCGATTATCTGCCCTCAACCTTCCTCGTCGAAGTTTGTGAACCGTTTTTTCTCACCAAACGATTGCGCACTTCAAAGGACGAAAGCACGAGGAGATATCCATGGAGAAGAAACATGAAGAGAGATCCGTGATTAGTGAATCTAAGAAATCCATGGAGAAGAAACATAAAGAATTATTCAATCCATGAAGAAACGCAAAGAGAGATCTATGGAGAAGATAGATCTAAAGTTTCATTAATGATGATGATGATGATGATGATGGAGGAGAGGAGATCTAAAGTGAAAGATCCAAAAAAATCCAGAAAAAAATGAAAGAAGAAGAAGAAGAAGAAGAAGAAGAAGAAGCGTGAAAGAAGAGGCGTGAAAGCAGAAGAAGAGAATAAGTTGGGTTGGCAGGGATACGTAATTATTAGATTAGAGTAAGGGTTTTTGGTCTTTTTCTATTTATTTGATTTAAATTCTTTTATTTTTATTATTTTAGAAAATCGAAATTAGATGGATGACAATCTAGCTTTGTTTTTCCCGCATAGTGGTTTTTTAGCCATTGTTTCATTGATTTGACGAGTTCAGAAAAGAGAAAACAATGGCTTTATTTCTTCTCAGTTTATTTAGGAGTCTCAATATGGCCCAATGGATCGAATCATTTTAAACCCGACCCAAAACTCCTTTTCCAATTCTCTATTTCTACATATATGATCTCATGTCTATTTGGTTTTTACATATATTGCTTTAAATTCAATTAAATAGAATTTTCTTTTGAGAAATTTTTGTTTTTTTACTCACAAATATGTGAACTTTTCTGAAAGATGGTTTTATTCAACTGAAATCAATTGTTCAATACCAACAACAAATATACAACGAAAAAAACCGCAGAAGTTCCGGACCTTTGGTCCATAATTAATCTCCCTCGGTGCTCGAAGCCAGCTTTTAGTCCATTCCGATTTAATGAATGCCTCTCCGATGCCAAGAGATTTTGAACCCGTGGCACAAAATTTTTACCTCTTGTATAGACCACTACTTCTTTGATAAAATAAATTACATGTAGCTTACATTGCATGTATAAGAAAACTTCATATCATAAATAGGTGGTTCTTATCCATAATTTGTATGTCTACATCTTGATTTGTTGAATAAACGTGGCTTGTTATTGTCTCCTCCAAGTTGGTGAGTCTCTTAACATTGTAGCATCACCAATGGATTTTATTGGTCAGTTCTGGTATGCTTCATCAATCTCCATAAAATAGAACAAATGATAGGTAAATGTTCACTATAAAACTCATCCAAACTTAAAAATTACCTTAAAATGAATCAATTCCTCTATGTATTGTACGTACATGAATTGATGGCATAAATTAAGATAAAATAAGATAAAAAGCTCAATAGATGGCATAAATTAAGATTAAAAAATATATTCTGACGTATGTTTCATTTGCAGGTATTAAAAATAACGACAAGATGACACTTTTCCACCAGAAAAACGGGAAAACAAAATTATAAAAAAGTACCGTATACAAAAAGAAAAGAATAATATCACACAAAAAAAAAAAAAACGTCAGCAAAAATCCGGTTGACTCATTCTTGGTAAAACATGAACCGAAACCGGTTCAAGCCCATCAGGAATCTCAACATTCCAAATCTTCGCCGGCTCGGCCACAACATCCGCCACAACAATCTTCCCATCAACCGTAACAACACAAAGTTTCCCGGAATCCGCCGTAACCTGCGTAGCTCCTTTAAGTAACTCTTCTCCACCATCAACCACCGCCACTTCTCTCCACTCTCTATTCTCATCATCGTACTTTCTCACTGTCCCTCTCCTCTCATCCACCGAATAAAGAATCTCCTCCTCCATCGCCGCCACCGGACCTCTCCATCCAACCAACATCTCCTCCGGCATAGCTTCCCAATCATCTTTAACGACGTCGTATATTGCTCCTTCTTTAATAGCGTCTCCTTTTACATTTACCATTAAAAGCTTTCTTCTATATCCAACGGCGTCTATAGCTTCTCGACTAAACCGTAAATCTCTCATATCTCTTAATTTCTCCCAATTAAACCGCCGGTTATTACGGTTTTGATCGGTTAGATCTAATTTCTCGATTGATTTCGCAACGGTTGAGGAGAACTGAGAACTAATTCCGCTTGCGATGTAGATAGCTCCGTCGCAAGCTCCGGTGGCGCACCACCGTCTTGGAGATCCGATTTGAGGACCGGAGCTCCAGGACGATGAAATTGGATCGAAAATTAACGGGTGAGAGATAGCCGGAGAGAGTTGTTGGTTACTTCCGGCGATGAGGATGAGTTTTCCGGCGGCGGAGACGCATTGAATCGGTAAATTAAAGGAGATAAACGACGGATGACGGTAGAGAATCCGGTGAAGAGGCAGGTCAGGTGGAGGAGGAGGAAGCGGATACCATTTTGGAGAAACCGGGTTGAAACACATAAACCGGACTGACGGGTTGACCCGACCCGGATCCGAGGTTGAATCCACGAAAAGCGCGTAGAGTGACGGAAACGAAGGAAATTCCGGCGAGTAAAGAAGACGGCGCCACCGTGTACATACGGCGGAGAGTAACGACGGACGGTTAACTTTGGAAAGACAGATCTCTGAGATGTGATCGGGAAGTCCTTCGATTAAAGCGGAGTTTTCATTTCCGGTGACTATTCTTCTTCGTTTCGCCGGCGGTGATTCGGCGGCGGCGGTAGACATTGATTCAGGCCGTTACAGTTTTTTTTTTTTGGTTGAGTTTTGAATAATTTTTATTATTATTGGGATTTATTAAAGAGATAAAGGAGGAGGCGTGAAGTGTAATGAATGAGAGGGAAAAGTAGTAATGGTGTAGGAGCCATACATATATCAAAATCGAAAAGGCCAAAGTTGGAAAGTGTTAACATCTCTATCATAAATACGTAAAGCTAACTGATTAAATAAAATTATACATTTATAGCAGCACATATGATTATAATATTCAAGTGGGTATTATTCACCCAAAAAAAAATATTCAACTGGGTATTAATTTAATTTAGTTGTTCGATATTATGATTAATGTTAGAACTAGGTATTGTCAATTGGTTTAAACGATCCGGTTCAGTTCGGAAATTCGGTAATTTGGATTGTTTGGTTTGCAAAAATTATTCCCATTTGACCCAAACTAAATTTCGGTTAGGTTCAGTGTTATCGAATGGAACTGATTAAATAGAACAATTCTTGGGTTCACCCCCTCTTTAATAACCAATCAGAATTTGCCATGTCAGCTGATTAAAACAAATAATATTATCCAAATAAAATATTTAAATTAAATCATTAAAAACCCACTTTTTTTTAAATCCAAACCGATATATAATCTCGTTTAAATACAAAATCTAAACCCTAATTCTCCTTTGTAAACCCAAACCGCCATTTAAAAACTAAACCCTAATCGTATTTTCTAAACCCAAACCGATATTTAACCTCGTTTAATTATAAAATTTAAACCCGTGTATAAACCCAAACCGATATTTAACCTCGTTTAATCATAAAATCTAAAACCTAATCGTACTTTCTAAACCCAAACTGATATTTAACCTCGTTTAATTGTAAAATCTGAATCCGTTTATAAACCCAAACCGATATTTAACCTCGTTTAATCATAAAATCTAAACCCTGACTTTTTCTAGTAAATCAAGGGTTAATAAATCAGGGTTTAAATTTGAGAAAAAAAAAAGTGAGGGAAGCTGACATCTACAAGTAAGCAGGTCCGGCCCGCCACCAATTTTAATGAAACAAAAGTATTGGGCCTCCAAATTTTTTGAAATTTTTAGTATCAAAATAAGGCCCCAAAAAGATCTATTATTTCAAAATATAGGCCTCATTTTTCTAAACTTTTCAGATTTAGTCTCAACTTTTAAGTTTTATCTATTTTTTATTGCAAAATAGGCCCTATTTTTTTATAAAGTTTTTAGATTTGATCCCAAATTTTCATATTTTTCTACAAAATCCATCAAAAATTTTTGTTTTGTATCGGGCCCCATATGTTACAGGGCCGGTCCTGCAAGTAAGTAGAGGGTAACGGGAATAACCTAATCTTCTAATTATAAAAATTATGTTGGCACTTAGTCATTTACCTAATACCTTATTCCATTTCTTCATTGTCATACAATCCAAATCTATATTGTATGTTATGTTCTATATTTCTATATTATCCTTCCTGTTGTGAACTGTGTCTTTCATTAATAGAATAAGGGATATATATACAAGGATAATAGCAGGATACAGAGAATAAGGTAAAACCCTAATGGGCCATGGGCCAGTTATGGAGTCCATCTATATGGTTTATAACACTCCCCCTTGGAAGACATAACCGTGCCCGATACTAAACCGGGATCTCTATAATGCGCTGGGGAATGTTGCCTCATTAAAACCTTACCAGGAAAACCCAGTGGGACAAAACCATGGTGAAAGAAAAAGAGTACAACACGCATTACTCCCCCTGATTTGAGCATCACTGTAGATCCTTAAGTCCGCGCATCCCGATCTGATGAATGAGCTTCCGGAACGTTGAAGTCGGCAATGATTTGGTGAATAGGTCGGCTGAATTCTCACTTGACCGGATCTGTTGAACTTTGACCTGACCGTCCTTCTGTAATTCATGAGTGAAGAAGAACTTTGGCAAAATGTGCTTCGTCCGGTCTCTCTTAATGTAGCTATCCTTGAGTTGAGCAATACAGGCTGTGTTGTCTTCAAATATGATGGTCTTTGATGTAGTAGTAGTAGTAGTAGTAGTAGTAGTAGTAGATGCGCCTTAAGGAAGGCTGCCTACGTACCCTTGGAAGGGATCAAGCCACACATAGTTCCTATTCATTGACCATGCCATAATCTGATCTTATGAATAACCTGCATCAGCAAATCAAACTAAACCAAAGCAAACTGGACCTTCTTTGGCTAGATCAGTATAGAATAAACCCAAGTAAACAACGCAGGAAGAATAGACTTTAAAGCTTAATCAAACCTTCCTTTAAACCTTTCCAGTGCCTTTGGGTTGATCATGAACTAAATTTAGACAGGAGACTCACGGCAAAACAAATGTTTGGTCTAGTGTGTCTAGCCAAATTCATTAGAAATCCTATGGCACTGAGGTATGGCATTTCCGGACTGAATGGATCACTATCCAATCTGAGGCTTCTCACCACCATTGGGCCTGGTCAATGGGCGGGCCTGGTCCTTATTAAATCTTCTTGAGTACTCTTTCAGTGTATGCCATTTGATGCACAAGGATTCCATTATTCACGTACTCAGGTTGTAATCACAAACAGAACTTAATTATTGCCTAGGTCTTTCATTTGAGATTCTTTCTTTAGATATACTCAACTGTTTGGGCGATTACCCAGAGGTTTAAATCATTCATATACACTGCTATGATTACAAATCCTTTGTTTGCAAACTTTTTGATAAAAATACATGGACTGATCGGATCGTTTTTATAGCCTTCTCTGATGAGATATTCGCTTAACCGGTTATACCACATACGTCCGCTTTGTTTCAGTCCATATAAGGATTTGTCCAGCCTTATGCAGTGCTGTTCTCGAGAATCTTTCTTATCTTTGAGCTCAATACCCTCTGGTAATCTCATATATTATCCAGTGGACGTATATAAATATGCAGGCAATACATCCATTAGCCGCAAATCTTTTTCTTTTATATAGCCAGACTTAGCAAAGATTTAAATATCTTAGCATCCACCACAGGGGAGTATATCTCCTCTATTTCTGGTCTTTGTGTAAATCCTTGTGCGACAAGCCGTATCTGATATATCACGCTTTCACTATGTTTATTTCACACAATCACAAAGACTCATTTGTCGCACTAGCTTTACATTGAATGGTATCCTTTGTATTGGACCAAACACATTCTTCTTCTTAATGATTCTTAGCTCCACATTTTATGGTCTTGTACCATTTTAATCAATCAGGTCTTTGAGTGCACTCTAGTATAGACGTGGGCTCCTGATCCTCATTCATTTCAGTTCCTACCTTGTGCGCAAATATATTATCATTGATGTCGACATCTTTTCGATTCCATTGCATTCTAGACATGATATAGTTTATAGAGATCTCTTTGCACTTTCAGGACCTTGAGGTTTAGCGTCCCAAACCTCATTGATTGGTACCTTAGGGTTATGTCTATTAGCCGGCCATGTCTATTGTTTCTTGAACCTTCTCAGTTTCCCTTGCACCTTTCTTTGATTTCCGAGGGTTCTTGTCTTTGGAACCTTTTAGGTCTACCACGTTTCTTACGTATTGTAGCAACTTGATTGTGTTCCTTGTGAACATCAATATGTACTGGTGCATTACAAGCTGGTATGTACGATTTTGTTACTCTTTTTGGGTCATTATAGGAATATTGGCAACTGTTTTAGCTAGCTTTTGCAGATATATAGTCTTTTGGATCTCTGATGGAGTCCGAGGATCTTGCCATGTGAAGGATGTTTGATTCTATGTAAGTTCTTTGACCAGCTTGTTAGTCTCTCCACCCAGTGTTGGGAAAACGGATTCATCGAGATGACAATCCTTGTATCTGGCCATTGGCTCGAGATACTTAATGATGGTGGGAAAATCATTTTTAACGTATATTTCCATCCCCTTTTGAGGTCCCATCATTTGCTCTCTGTGGTGGTGCAATGGGTACATAGACTGACGACCCAAATGTCTTAAGATGGGAAACGTCTGGCTCATGACCCGTTAGCAATTGGGATGGGGAATATCTATGCTCACTAGAATGGCCTGATGCGTATAAGCTCCTGTTGCATGTAATATTGCGTGTCCCCAAGCAGCTACTGTGAGTTCAAGTATGGACATGTGCCACGGGGTATACTACTCTCCTCCTCATGGACATACTGTAGCCATAAAACGCTTGGGACATAATTTACCAGCATTATCTAGACATATAGTCTTAAGTATGTGGGCTCACAGACTTATGGTCTGGGCCAGCAATCTAGCAAACACCAAGTTTCTAGTTGCTTTGACTGGTGATGACCTTAGTATGGGTTTCTCTTGTGTATATGCTACACACGTGAGGTCCTTAAGGAGTGTGCCTTTTTGATTTTAATATCAGCTTTACGCATCATGTTAGAACCAGGCTGGCCAAGCCGGTCATGCCATTAGTGAAGTTCTCAGTAAACCCTTTTGTTTACTGTATTAGCCTCTATCACATTGACTTTGGCATAGTAAAGATATATGACGCGGGTATAGTCTCTAAGACCTTCTTATGGTCTTGGGTGCTCTTAGTAATATATGGGAATCCTTTGTTCCCTTCACCCTTAGTTTCAATGTGGAAACCATTCAAACACATTTCTTTGAAACTCAACAAGCCCCTTTGAACTGGGTGAATATGAAGCATCTGAGGATGCGTGCCCTTGGGAATATGGGCCTGCCATGGGCCTGCCCTTAGCCTTCACTAAATTTAGCTATACCCGCAATTTGGCTAATGAACCATGTCTTTAGATATTTCGTTTATTGAATTCTCATAGTCATCTATCTCATGGTCGAAATCTTCTTCACCATCGTGATGAACTAAATGAGCTTCTAGATTCTTTTCAAACTCTCTTGATAGAGATCAAAGAGATGCTTAGGTGTCCTGCACGTCTTAGTCCAATGGTTTCCCCATTCCTTATCAGTGGCAAATAAGTTTATTTGAGTGTTGTGGTTTGGGTATACCGCGGCCTCTACCTCGATTACGACCAAAGTCGGGTCGACGGCCTTAACCATATGAATGGTTTCCTTGATCATATAAATTATAATTGCCACTTCTACCACGTCCATTCCATTTACCATGACTATGGCCAGGATACTTATCTCTTTGGACGTAGTTAGACTCTTTAGTCTCTTTA